AGGAGTCACGGTAAAGCTGACAGACTTTGTGATGTGCCTGGGAAGCAAAATGCCAGTGTAAATCCTTCCTCCACGTTTGGGTTCTTGGGGAAGAGCTTCAAAGATGCCCTATCCATTTCTGGGCTCTAAAGGGAGACAGGATGGCTATGATAATTACCCTGACTCACTTCCCTGTTTTTGGCAGACCTACCTCTGACCTAATAATTCCCACGCCACATTCCCTGCCCACAGATTTTGTAATGTCAGGATGGCTGTAGCTTTCTGCAGAGGACTGGCCATCCACACTCATTAGATAAAGGATGTGCTTACCCCATTCAGTGGTCTTCTAAGAGCAAACACTGCAAGCCGTTTACCACTGGCAGGTGGTGGAGACTGCCATTGTCTGATTCTATCATGTGGAGTAGCAAGGAGATCGTGGGGCACAGGGGTTTCATTACCACCAGACTAGGTGAACTTGGGGAGAAGTGAATGAACATCTGAGTCTTAGTATTTATCTTTTAAGGTTGCGATCAACTTTGATAACATGAAGGAAGCATTATAGAAACGTTATTAAATGAAAGGAAGACTGTTCTCTCCTGTATCCACTGGAGAAGGTCCTGTGAGCACAGGAAATGAAGCAGCTAAAAATGACTTGCCTGTATCTTTCCTTTCTTGCTTTGTGTTATTCTAGGTCCTCCAAAAAGCAAATGCCAAGACGGGATTAAATGCCTGTGAGAGAAGGTGTGGAGGCCCTGGGTGAGGCTGGGGTAGCTGTCACATTTCCGTGTGGGTCTGATTCCAAGGGAAGGAGAGAGCAGGAAAGGGAGGGGAGGGTGAGGGACAGTGTCTTAGAGGGCAGGGTGCTCCGAGGAAGGTGTGGCAAGGTCATCAGGGCGTTCTGGGGCCAGAGCCATGACGGGGGTGGAGGGGCAGGGGGGCTCTTGTGTGTCCCAGGAATGACATCCTGCCTGGGCATCCCTGCACCCTCCTCATTGGCCTGGAGCCTCCCAGAAGCAGGGCTCTCACCACAGCGATGGTTCAGAACACTGCAGCTGGGGCCCTTGGTTGAACTCCCAGTAATTGGAGGTCTTAGGGCATGTTCTTGTGAGGACAGCTTCCATTCTCCAGAAGGTTTTGACTAGCCAATAACATGACGCGCAGGGCCTTCCCTCAAGTTAAGCTACGCTATCTCGTTGGCTTTTTTAATTACCTTGGAGTAAGGAATTCATAAGAAGGAGGTGGCGGAGGGGAGACTGATGAGGGAAGGACGGGCAATAGAGAGACAGGTTAGCAAACCCTAGTTCAGAGGCCTCCTGAAAGGCTCAACGATTCTGTAAGTGTCCTTGGTAGGTGCAAAGGGGACGCAGGGCGGAGTCACGCACCTACCTGCACAGGGTGGGAGTCTGGCAGCAGGCTGGCCAGTCGCCCCAGGGGCACCCCGTGTCCACTCCCATTCCTTTTCTATTTGCGGAGCTGGTGAGGGGACGGGTCTTCCTCCCCCTGGGCCTCGCTTGCAGGCCTCACTGCGTTACTGCGTGGACTCTCAACGGTGGGGGTGAGGCCCTACCTGAGCCTGGACCTCCGGTTGAAGGAGGCTCTGGGCGTCCTGCTGGCCATCCTGGGCTGTAGGTGGTAAATGTGGCCGTGAAGTACTCTTTGCCTTGAAGAGGTGCTGACAGCTTCAGGGACTCACCCCTGTCCTTCCCTCTTGTCTTCTCTCTTCTCTTCTCTCCTTGCTTCCCCTCACGGCTCCCATCTGGACTTGAAATGTCTTCATTTTCGGGCATAACTTGGAGACTACAGCCCACTCAGGACAGTGGGTAGCAAAACTGGAAATTTCCTCATGTAGTCTCCAAGACTCCCAAGACCTTTATTTCTAAGCATTTATTTTTTTTTTAAGATTTGTATTTAGATGACACACACACACACACACACACACACACACACAGGGGTGGGGGGCGCAGAGACAGAGGGAGAAGCAGGCTCCATGCCGGGAGCCCGACGTGGGACTCGATCCTGGGTCTCCAGGATCACGCCCTGGGCTAAAGGCAGCGCTAAACCGCTGAGCCACCCGGCTGCCCTATTTCTAAGCATTTAAACAAAAAATGGCTTCAAGTGTAAGTGGGAGCTGTGTGTGTTTCTCAAGATAGTGAAACTTAGTTTGGCTGTAGGTATTGTTCATTAATAAATTGCTATCCCCTGATTGATGCCAACTTTGATTTATAACCCCACAAAGGTGGTAGGTTCTTAGTTTTTCTTCCTGTTTTCCTTCTCTCGTTAAAAGCTTTTCCTAAAATTTTTCCCTTCCATGAATATTTATTTCTAGGTAGAAAGTGAGGAAGGGGTCATTTGTATGTGTGCTTTTTGTTCTAGAGGGGGGGAAAAACCATCAAAACACTTGAGAAAGAGGAGGTTATGAAATGATTTCAGAGCAAGAGGGAACGATCCAATTGTTGAGATCCATGGAGCTTCCATCTGAGTCCTACTGTTCATGGTGCCGCATTGAAGCTCAGTTGTACCAGAGGACCCACACCGGTCTACAAATTAGGACTTGGTTCTAGTCTTGACTGGGCTGTAAACTGGGGGGGGGGAGGCACCTTGCTGGGGCCTCTACAGGGTCTTATTTGAAAGATGGTGGCATAGAAAGGATACTGGAGAGTCCACTCTACCCCAGACCCTTTGGCTTATCTTGATAATGTTCTGATCCCTTCACAGAGTTAATGGATGCATCCAAGGATTAGTGCAAAATCTTTAAAGGAAGAGGACTAGATTTTAATCCAATTTTCAGAAAAGGAAAATAAGTTAGGTGAAAAGTTTATTTTTTTGATCAGGATATCCTCTATGGATGCTGGTATCTCTTTTAAATGTATCTGCTGAAATGTTCAGGTTTCAATTGAAAAGTCACTCAATTATATACCAGAAATTGAGGAAAATCTCGAATGAATAAAAGAACAAAATGAATAAGAGTCAAGAGATGCCAATACCGAGATGACAGATGTTGGATTTGTCTGACAAGGCTGTTAAGGGAGCCGTCATAAAAATACTTCCATGAGCAGTTACACTCTTGACACAGGAGTTAGAAAGTCTCAGCAAAGAAATAGAAGAAAGAAGAACCAGATGGAAATAATAGAACCTAAAACCTATGGCTGCTGAAATAAAAATCCAAATGAATGGGCTCAACAGCAGAGAAGAGGTGCTTTCTGAACATTGCTACCTGAATTGAATGAAGACTTTGGGCGACATACGTGGTCATAGATAGAGATGTGATTGAACTTAACATTTAATTATTTAATATTTATATTTCAATTTGCCCCCAAATCAAACCATATTTCAAGCATCCTATTTTGCTCTTAAGAGAATTCCCATGGCGAACACATATATTGCGTGTTTATTTTTTTTTTTTTTTATTTACTTATGATAGTCACAGAGAGAGAGAGAGAGGCAGAGACACAGGCAGAGGGAGAAGCAGGCTCCATGCACCGGGAGCCCGACGTGGGATTCGATCCCGGGTCTCCAGGATCGCGCCCTGGGCCAAAGACAGGCGCCAAACCGCTGCGCCACCCAGGGATCCCTGTTTATTTTTTTTTTATACTGCGTGTTTAAAACAGGCATGAGTTGCTGTGCCCCTGAAAAATCTCAGTGTGTCCATTGGAAACTGGCCCAATGTGTGCCAGTTATAAGGTTATAAGGCAGCTAAAAAATACTATCAACCCGTCCTTGCTGGGCTAAGAGGGGTATCACAGCTGGAACATAGACACGAACGTGCCTCTGCAGATCCCACCACGTGTAAATCAGTGAGGGATTCAGGCCAGCGTACCAGGTTTCGAGGGGGGACGCTGGCAAGTGATGCGGGTACACAGAGAGGGTCAGCCAGGGACTTGCTGACGAGGAACGTTCGCAAAGCCTGAGATGATTTGGTATCAAGAAGAGGGTTGGCTGTCTTTATACATCTGGAGGGTTCTCACTTAGATGTGGTCTCCTTGTTTCTGTGTTTGCTCCAAACAGGCCATTTGTACGTTAAAATCGTGCAGGGCAGTGAGTAGCCACGCTTAGGGAGGCGACTTTTGAAAAGTTAGTTCTCGGAGCCTGAGTTTTCTTGTCTGTAAAAACAGCATCTGATGTTGAATGCTTGTCAACCTGTGGAAAATCCACCTCTGGGGGCTGGATTGGGATTGAAACTGGGGGATGAGATGGCACGGGCGGGTGGCCGTGTCTGCCAGCGTTGTGTGTGAGTAAAGCTGCTTCCTGTCTTGGAAGGGCCTGAGTAGAGTCTCCCCCTGGCCCAGCTGGGGGCTTGTCCCTGCACCTGGGGGTGGGACCTGGGAGCTGTGGTGGCCGCTGACCAACTGCTTCCTCAACACACTTGGTGGGGGGTACTTACCTCATCAAGCACCTCATCTCTTGTACAGCCCCTGAATCCCACCCCACCTCTCGTCCCATTCCCATCCCTGTCCACATCCCCAGCAACCCGGGGGAGGGGGGGATCTCCTTTGAGTTAGGTCCACAGCCAGCAGGACCGTCCTCCTGGGTAACTACAGATGTATTAGGAACCTCACCAGGCTTGAATCCCACGTTCTCCCCTTTAAGGAAGGGAGGGTGGGAGCTGCATTTCCTTTTGCTTTCGACAGCATCCTTCACAGCTCGGCCTCCTCCCTTTTGTTCCTCCTGTTTCTCCCACTCCTCTGTGATGAGTGATGTATCGCCTCTGTGTCTTCCCTTGGCGATTGCTCCATGAAACTGTGACTTGGAGTGTGCTTCTGGTCCTCTGGGGTGGCCCCGGCTCCCACCTGCCCTGTGTGCCCTGGAGAGACACTGTCCTTGAAGTGCTGGAAGGAACCTGAACAGACCAGACATGACGTTTGCCACTTGTCCCCTGGAGCACTCAGCTCCAGACCTCTTAGAAGTCGTCAGGCCGGGAGCTGGTGCATGTGTATGCATACATATTAGTAGCGCACCGTGTGCCCTGGTTCTGTAGCGGAGGACAAGCCTAACTTATTCATTTACAGCTTCTTTTATTGCAGAAAAAGGAGTGGACATGGGATGAGAGCAAGATGCTGGTGATGCAGGACCCTATCTACAGGTAAGAGCCCCGTCCTCACCTGTTGTCCCCTGGAGCTGTCGGGCCGGTGGAGCCAGGTAAATTCAAAGAAATTTCTACTGCTTTTCCCTTCTGTGACCTGTTGTTTCCATACGTGTAAGTACAAGAAGCCAGTCTCCCTTATCTCTAAGATTTTGAGGAAGATTCTTCTTCGGTTCAATTGCACTGTCTAGAAACTACAAAGGATTTCTTCTTGGTGTCTAGTCTCAATCCTTTGGTTGTACTTTGAGACTTTTCAATTTGTGCTAGTTTTATCTCAACTGAAATTTCATACTTGCATATCTGTTCCACCTCAGAAACTGAGCACAGATAGAGGGGTTGTGACCTTTTGGGAAAGCAGAAAGACACATATAGTCCCTGGAAATTGCCTTCACAACGAGACCAATAGGATTCCTGTAGAGATTAGATGTGTACTCCCTGGGCAGAGGAGTACCTGGTGGTCACAGTACAGAGCGCCAGGGCCCCCCTTGGACCCACAGCAGGACTTTGATTCACCAGGGTTACTCTGGTGTCCTGGACTCTGCTGACCAAGCCCCACCCACCCCACCCCTACCTCCTCCCTGTTTTTTTCAGTGACAGAATGGGTGTTAGCTCTTCCTTTGGGATTTGGGGGAACCTAGAGTCAAATGACTTGCTCTGGTCAACAAAATGGATAAAGGTTGGGACTCAACTGACAAGTTGGCAACATGGTGGCCCTGTCTTCTCGTCAAAGAGTGGATGCCTGTGAAATGGGATTTCTGTTCATTCAAAGAAATATAACGAATGTGAAAACACTCATGCCAGGAGCTGTGCTGGGTGATTCAGTGGATGACTAAAATAGGTCGTGGTCCCTCCTTCTCTGAGACTGTTAGTCTAGAAGGAAGTAGATCACTGAGGCACAAGACCGTGTGTCTGACAACATGAATTTCTTTCTCTGGGTTCCTGTTGTACTTTTAAATGTTTGTGGAAACAAGTGGTACAGTGTGTTACTGTCACTTAAAAAAAGGTCTTTTGCCAGTAGATGATGAGGCTCTTGCAGGGGAAGAACCGTGCCCAGCTCCCTTTCATATTTCTAGCACCAAGCCAGTGTCTGGCCTAGATGCATCATTTAATAAAAGTGTGATGGGTGGATGGAAAAATGTACTTGATACCTGAAAATTAACAGGAGGGAATAATCACTTTCTACTTGAGTGATAAGGAAAGGCTTCAACAAACAGATTGCATCAGAGCTGGGCTTGAGGGATGTGAATGGATGAGCCCCTGTCATTTGCATTTTGTAAAAGGAAGAATATCCTGGGAGGGGGGTGGTGGTTTTGTTTTTATTTTCCACAGCGGCACCGGCACCGTATACATACAAAGCCAGCTCATTGCGGATGCCACTCATGGCCTTGAGTCAACCTTTCCTTGGTTGAGAGGAAGGACTTTGCCCAAAGTTTTAACAACGTAGCCCAAACAGGCTATCGATTTTATGTATTTTTTATAATAGCTTTATTGTGAGGTATAGTTGATCTAAGGATCTCCTTTCTATTGTTATGATGAGTTTGTGGTGTTTTTTGTTTTAATTTTGTGTACCGTCATACAGTGTATCCTTTTTCTTGGCCTGGCTTCTTTCATTAATTGTAATTATTCTAAGAATCCTTACTTGTCATTGTATGTAGCAATAGCTTATCCCTTTTTATTACTAAATGGTATTCCACTGTATGAGTATAACTCATTGTGCTTGGCCATTCGAATGTTGGTGGACATTTTGGTGGTTTCCAGTTTGGGGCTTTTACAAAAGTTTATGTGACTGTTCACTACAAGTATTTATATGGACATACACTTTCATTTTTCTTGGGTAAATATCTAGGAGTAGGATGGCTGATTATATGGTGGGTTTTTTCTTGGGAGGGGAGTTATTCTTGTTTTGAAAGATTTTATTTATCTGAGAGAGAGAGAGAGAGAGTGTGTGAGAGAGTATGAATGAGCAGGTAGGGGGAGACGGAGAAGCAGGGGAGCCTGATGTGGGGCTCGATCCCAGGACCACAGGATCATGACCAGAGCCGAAAGCAGACGCTTAACCAACGGAGCCACCCAGGCACCCCGATTTTGTTTTTTTTTTTAATTTTTTATTTATTTATGATAGTCACATAGAGAGAGAGAGAGAGAGAGAGAGAGAGAGAGAGGCAGAGACATAGGCAGAGGGAGAAGCAGGCTCCATGTACCGGGAGCCTGATGTGGGTTTCGATCCCGGGTCTCCAGGATCGCGCCCTGGGCCAAAGGCAGGCGCCAAACCACTGCACCACCCAGGGATCCCCCCCCGATTTTGTTTTTTTAATGAAACAGCCACACTTTTCCCAAGCAGTAGAACCACTAGTGGAGTTTGAGACCTCTAAATCCTTCACATCTTTGCCAACATCTGGTATCGTTGACTTTTTTTTTTTAATTTTAGCCCCTCAGATAGATGTGTATTAGTATCTCACGGGGGCTCTAATTTGTATTTCCTAGTAACTAATCACCTTGGGCATCTTTTCATCTCAGATGCAATTCGTCTGTCTTTTGTGAAGCATCTGTTCAAGTCTTTAGCCCAGTTTTGATTGAGGTATTTTGTTTTCTCACGGAGTTTTGAGAGTTCTTTGCAAATTTTGAATACCTATCCTTTATCAGGTGTGTGGTTTGCAAATATTTTCTCCAAGTCTGGCTGGACTTTTCTCTTAATAGTGTCTTTTGAAGGACAGTTTAATTTTGGTGAAATCCAAACTACCAATTTTTTTGTGTGTCCTCTAAGAAATCTTTGGCTAACTCAGGGTTGCGAAGATTTTCTTCTGAACTTCACATTTTGGTGTATAATCTACTCTGATTCATTTTTTTAGGAAGAAGGATGTGTCAAAGTTTCTGTTTTTCCTCCTGCAAACAGCTGTCCGGTTGTTCCAGACTCATTTGGTGAAAAGACTGTTCTTTCTCAGCTGAAGTACTTCTGTTGAAAATCTCTTGTCCCTCGCTGTGTGGTTTGTTTCGAAGTCTTTATTCTCTTCGATCCATCCAGTTGTCTGTCTTGATGCTGGAACCATGGTGTCTTATTTAGTGTAGCTTAATAAAATAATCTTGGAATCAGGTAGTCTGTCTTCTAGACGTTCTTCTGTTTCAAAGATTTCTTTCAATTAGTTTAAGTATGGTATGACCTTTTTCCTTCCCTTCACTTTTAAGAAGAAACATGCTCTTTGGTGGGGGAGGGGTGGAAAACATTAAAAAATCTTAAATTTTTAAAATCTTTTTTTTTTATTTTTTTTTATTTATTTATGATAGTCACAGAGAGAGAGAGAGGCAGAGACACAGGCAGAGGGAGAAGCAGGCTCCATGCACCAGGAGCCTGACGTGGGATTCGATCCCGGGTCTCCAGGATCGCGCCCTGGGCCAAAGGCAGGCGCCAAACCGCTGCGCCACCCAGGGATCCCAAAAAATCTTAAATTTTTAAGTGAATTACATTTTTTAAAAAACTTAAGGTAGGCTCCATGCCCAATGTGAGGCTTGAACTCATGACCCTGAGCTCTATTTGGCGACCCCTGTCCCCCCAGGGGGAAAAAAGAAACCCATACAGCAGATTTTCTGGTTGTAGGTATCTCGTGGATATCTTGCTCATCTGTCAGAATTCAGCAGCCTGCATTTATGAACAAAGGTATGAAGCTTCGCCAGTCCTGTCCCAGCCATCTAGATCCTTTTTTCCCCCTCGTGTATTAAATTGGGTGTTTTTGGTCTCTGTACATGTAAATTTGCGTGTTAGGAGGACTTTATTCTAAACGGTATATCTCATTTCATCATCAGTAAGAACATTTATCATCATGATAACATGGTAACATTCACAAATGAACTTTTCTCAGGGACCGTTTCTGCCCCTAAGGAACCCCTCTGGTGTGACTGGCGTTGCCGCAGAATACATAATTGCTGATGGCTTTCATGAAACACTGGACTCCCCCAGCATTCGCTTTCAGAAAACTCCTTTGTGGCGCGGTGCTTTCTTCCCATCCAAAAGAAATGCCTTCACCACATCAGTAACAGGCTCCTCTTTTGTTAGCTTACATTTTAAATTTAAATTTTTTTGCATCTCTCCCCTTGAATAATAGAGTCATGGGGTTTTTTTTTTATATATTGAGGCAAAATATAAAATGTGCCATTTTAATAATTTTTTGAAAGATTTTATTTACTGGAGAGAAGAGAGAGGAGCACGGGGAAGGGCAGCAGGTGAGGGAGAAGCAGACTCCCCCCTGAGCAGGAGCCCAATGACATGGGGCTCAATCCCAGGACCCCGGGATCACGACCTGGGCTGAAGGCAGATGCTTCACCAACTGAGCCACCCAGGTGTCCTGCCACTGTAATAACTTTAAGCATATGAACTCATGGCATTAATCACACCATGTTGTGCGGCCACCACCACCTTCTAAAATTTTTTCATTGTTCAGAATAGGAACTCTGTGCCCATCAGCGAAGACCCCTTATTTCCCTCTCCTCAAGCCCCAGGTGACCTCTAAAGTCCCGGGACTTTATGACATTGAAGCACTGTGGTGGCTACATGGTCCAGCCTCCCCCATCGCAGGATGCCTCTGCCCCCTGCCCTGATCGCTGTGACCATGCTCCTCACCGTGTTTATGTGAGTTTTGTCCATTGATCCTAGCTCTCGTCTCTGGAGCCACAAATACGGAGATCTTATTTCCCTAACGTTCCCAAAGCCATTCTTCATTATATTTTTACCTAGACTTCCTGATTTTAGAACACATAATTTCTTTCCCCTTAACATATATTAGAATTTAATACAGTTTCCCAGATGCTGTCTTCTCAGTGTAAGATATAGAGATGACTTTACCCTCATGATGCTCAGTTTTGCATTCATTTGTAAAGAAAAAGATCATACTATATTTTGCTTATTTAACAAACTGTGTCAAGGTCCTACCTAGGTCGTGGTGAATTTATTGTCCAGAATCCTTAGGATTGATTATATGATGGTCTCTAAGCCAGATTTGTGTGTGTGT